TCCTCCAGGGACTCAGGCCATCCATTTTTTTAAATAATGCATTCAATCACAGGTCGTGATCAATTATGAAAGGCACGAAACAATGGAGTTCATAAATTGCAGGAATGAGACTGGCGGCTCTTGGAAATGGTGAGGGGCAGGGGATCGGAGCAGCAACCGGGGCTGAAGATGCCCCAATAAATAAATTGAAGATAGTAATAATAGCAACAGTAACAATAATAATGCTAGGTAAAGGTAAAGGTTTTCCCCTGAAGTCCAGTCATGTCCGACTCTGGGGGTTGGTGCTCATCTCCATTTCTAAGCCAAAGAGTCAGCGTTGTCTGTAGACACCTCCAAGGTCATGTGGCTGGCATGACTGCAACGAGTGCCATTATCTTCCTGCCAGAGCAGTACCTATTGATCTACTCACATTTGTATTTTTTTTAGGTTGACAGAAGCTGGGGCTAATACTGGGAGCTCACACCGCTCCCCAGATTCGAACCTGCGACCTTTTGGTCAACAAGTTTAGCAACTCAGCGGTTTAACCCACTGCGCCATGCTAATAATGCTAATAATAATATTATAAGAAACAGAAATGCCAGAGGATTCAAACTCAGCCTTTTAAGGGGAAGAGTACCACTGGAGATGGAAATATTTGGATTTCTGCCTCTATGAAACCCAATCTGCAAGGAGGATGACGCAGACTTTGCTTTTCCAATGCCTGAGGCCAGGCAATCCATTCAGCACTCAGCGGGTTTGCTCTGTTTATACAAATTAAGAGACAAAACTGACAAAAAGCATAAGGATAACAGCAGTATAAAGCAAGGCTGCAAGAGTCAGGAAGCTTTGCAATACGTGGCGAGACTAAGGAGGAAGATGGTGATGATGGTATGAAAGCTCAAGCCTTCATGTTTTGGGTTTTCAAGGCTGAGAAGCAGCACAAAAACGTCAGCAAGAATTAGATGTGGGTCCCAAAACCGACCCAGAGGCCACTTGCAGTAAATGTCTTGCAGAAAGAAAGGCCAGGCAAACATGGAGTAGGTCATTGCAAAAAGGGGCCCAGGAACTTAAGGGGGGTCATGTAAGCAAAGCAAGACAAAAGCTATAGGATCCCCCACTTCCAAGCATACACTCAATGCATCTTCTTTCTCTAAGACTTAAGGGGCTGTGAAGAGGCAAAGTAGTTGGCCCCAAGTGAGCAAAAGCCACTGGCCCACCCCAAAGGCATGCTATCTGCACAGAGAAGGTTGCATTCAGGAGAAACGTGCCCCACAAAAGCGGGGAGCGAAGGAGGACAGCTTATCTGTGTGAACTGGCAACCTGCCCATAGGGAAAGTGCGCACATATATCTATCTGCCGTGCGAAGCAGAAGGTGTGAGAACAGCCCCCCGAAAGGAAGAAGGAGCAGAAGGCGCACCGGGGGCAGAGGCAGGCACGCATTCGGCACCTTTAAGCAATGGCTTTGGAGGAGACTGGGCTCACAGTGTCCCCCTTTGCCCCACAGGGAAGGCCAGAAGTCCAGTTTTCAGGGGCTTGTCATGACTTTGAGTTGTGAGGCTGACATTTTGATCCTCTCGCCACTGATTGCTCCCTCTGCCCAACTGGACTATACCCAAAATTGCCTACAGGTCCATTTGCCATGTGCTGATGGCTCTACTGGGAGCTGGGTCTATTTGGCTGAGAGAAGAGGGCAGGATAGCCATGTTTACATATCTGAAAGGATGTCCCATTGAGGAGGAGGGGGAAAGGCTTGTTTTCCGCTGCTTTGGAAACTAGGGCACAATAGAGCTGTGGATCCAAATGGCAGGAAAAGGGATCACACCTAAAGGGATCTTCCTGACAGCAAGAAGAGCTCACATGGTGCCTGCTTCTCTGGAGGTTTCAAAGCAGAGGCTGGATGGCCATCTGTCAGGAAGGTTTTGACTGTGCTTTTTCTGCACAGCAGAATTGGGTTGGGTGCCCTTTGGATACCCCTTCCAACTCTATGACAGGCTGGCTATCTGTTGGGAGGGCTTGGATGGTGTCCTTCCTGGCAGATTGCGGTTGGACTGGATGCCCTTTGGATTCCCCTTCTGACTCTATGACTTGATGACAGGCTGAATGGCTCTCTGTTGGGAGTGCTTCGATGATGTCCTTCCTGGCAGATTGGGGTTGGACTGGATGCTCTTTGGATGCCTCTTCCGATGCTACGATTTGATGAGAGGCTGAATAGCTATCTGTTGGGAGGGCTTGGATTGTGTCCTTCCTGCTAGATAGTACTAAATGGCTCTTGCGGTCTCTTCCAACACTGCGATTCTATGATCTGTGGCTAAAATACCATTTGGTAGAATTTTTCTTAAAATGTTGGCCCTCAGTGGGCAAGAGGCCATGCCTTGGACCACTCTTTGCATCCTTGTGTGTTGACGTCTTGTGATCAACGGTGATGCAATGGGCAAAAAGACTGAATATCATGCAAGAAGGGTCTCTCTTTGCTCTGCCAATTGCTGTTTGTTGCTTGTATTTGAATTTCCTGCAGCTAGAAATGCCAGTCCCCGTCTCCCATATACCTCCCTGTTGGTCCTGGCACACTTTCCCCTTCCCCAAATTTGCAATGCAGCTGGGCAAATGTTTGTTTAGCCCCCCCCCCCCCTTCCCAAATCATTCCTGGCAGAGTGGCCAGGCTCTCCTCTCCTAGCTCTTGGTGCCAGCTAATCCTGGGCTTGAGTCACTTGTCAAGCGGGGAGATGGAGTGTTTAGTTTGGCAGGCATCCCACGCAGCACACGGGCCCGTGGCAAATAAAAAGGTCCAAATGAAGAGCAGAATGAGAAGCAATTGGGACAGGAAACTATGAATTTGACCCTGGCCCTGACCTTTTCCCTTAGTGTCTCTGGCCCCTTCTACACTGCCGTACAAAATCCAGGTTAGCTGCTTTGAACTGGATTATAATGCAGTATAGACTCATATAACCCAGTTCAAACCTGATAATCTGGATTATATGGTAATGCAGACTCATATAATGTGGATTATATGACAAGACTCAAATAATCCAGTTCAAAGCAGATAGTGTGGATTATATGGCAGTGTAGACTCATATAACTGAGTTCAAAGCAGATAATGTGGATTATACAGCAGTGTAGACTCATATAACTGAGTTCAAAGCAGATAATGTGAATTGTAAGGCAGTGTAGGCTCATATAAACGAGTTCACAGAAGATGATGTGGATTATTCGGCAGTGTAGACACATACAACCCAGTTCAAAGCAGATAACGTAGATTTTATGGCAGTTTAGACTGACAGAACCCAGTTCAAAGTAGATAATGTGGATTTTACGGCAGTGTAGGCTCATATAACCAAGTTCAAAGTGGATAATATAGATTATATATCAGTGTAGACTCATATAACCCAATTCAAAGCAGATATTCTGGACATGGCGGTGTATAAGGGCCCGAAATCTCCCTCCACTGAACAGACGACTTCCTTTAAAGCGCAGGATATAATGGATGTGTCCCCAGAAATAGAAAAGTCCCAGTTCCTGTTCCAGGCTCTTTCTGATTTTGACACTTCAAACAATACACTGAGGTTGGGGGGAGGGGGAAGGGGGGGGGTCTTTGATCATAGCTGGAGCTGGTGGGTACTATTCTGGGCTGCAAGGCACAAGGAATGCCTCAAGGGTGTGGAACTGCAGCCTAGAAGTACAATCGGAAGAGACTCCCAAAGACCATCCAGTCTAACCCCCTTCGTTGTGCCAGGAAGAAGGCACAATCTAAAAATCCTCCCCACAGATGGACAGAGAGCTGGAAGAGACCCCTAAAGGCTATCTAGTCCAGGCATGGGGAAACGCTAGGTGTTTTGGACTTCAAATCTAGGTGTTTTGGACATCAACTCCCACAATTCCTAACAGCCTCAGGCCCCTTCCTTTTCCCCCTCAGCCGCTTAAGCAGCTATGGGGGAAAAGGAAGGGGCCTGAGGCTGTTAGGAATTGTGGGAGTTGATGTCCAAATCACCTGAAGGGCCCAAGATGGCCCATGCCTGCCCTAAAGCAATCAGTTAAGCCTCCCAATGTGTCATAGTTGCCATGGCCCACCTTCTCCTTGGCTGGAAGTGTCTCCCAGTCCAATCCCCTTCTGCCAGGTATGAAGACACCATCCAAACCCTCCCAACCATCTAGTTAAAATACATCCAGAGGAGGAGGTTCTACCATTCCCCAAATCCTAGAGTTAGAAAGGGACCATCCGCAGGGCCATCCAGTCCAACCCATTTCTGCCAAGAGGAAGCCTTCTCAACAGATGGTCATCCAACTTCATAGACATTAGAAGGTCCATGAAGAATCAGAGCTGTGGAATGGTAGTTTGGAAAGGACCACCGCAAGGGCCACCCAGGCCAACCCTCTTCTCCCAGGCAGGAAGGCATCATGCAAGCTCTCCCAACAGATGGCCATCCAGTGAAGATTCTGGGCTGCAGAATGCTAGAGTTGGAAGGGACCACTGCAAGGGCCATCTAGCCCTACCCTCTTTTACCAGGCAGGAAGGCACCATGCAAGCCCTCCCAGCAGATGGCCATCCAACGGACTGACCACCCGAGGGCCATCCAATCCAACCTCCTTCTTCCAAGCAGGAAGGTACCATGCAAACCCTCCCGACAGATGGCCATCCAGCTTCTGCTTAGAAAATTCCCGGGAAAGAATGAGACTCCACCAGACTCCCAGGGAGTTCTTGGGAAGATACTTAAGTGGCATCTGTTTTCCTGCACAGTCCAAAAACCCTCCCCACAGATGGCCAGAGATTTGGAAGAGACCTCTAAAGGCAATCTAGTCCAGGCATGGGGAAACTTGGGTCCTCCCTCCAGGTGGTTTGGACTTAAGCGGCTGAGGAGGGAAAGGAAGGGAGTTGTGGGAGTTCAAGTCCAAAACACCTGAAGTTAGCGCCCAAGTTCCCCCGTACCTGATCTAGTCCAACCCCCTTTTGTGAGGCAAGGCAAAGCAGAATCCTCGCAGCCCGGACAGATGGCCATCCCGCCTGCCCCCACGGAGGCTCTCCTGACCTGTACCACTGGAGGCCCTTGTGGTAGTTGCGGTCGAAGAAGTGGGGCTCGGTGCCGAGGGCGCGGACGGCCGGGTGGGCGCGGAGGAACTCGAGCACGGCGCGGGTGCCGCCCTTCTTGACCCCCACGATGAGGACCCCGGGGAGCCGCTTGAGGGCGGGGGGCCCTTGGGGGCCCGGAGGCCCCGCCCCCTGGAGGAGGCCCCGCCCCTCCCGCGCCTCCCGCGCCGCCTTCTCCTCCTTGTGGAGGGCGGGCGGGCAGGGGGCGTGGCTTCCTCCCCGGCAGGAGAGCAGGAGGCTGTAGCCCAGGTAAGTGGCCCAGAGCGAGAGCAGCGAGCCCAGGAGCAGCACGCGCGGATGCTGCTGGCCCGCCCTTCGCCTCCTAAGCGGCCCCATGGCCCCATCGCCCCCCAGGGGCCCCCCGCAGGAGGAGGCGCCCCCGCCGCCCAGGGAACATCCTCGGACACCCAGCGGAGGAGGGAAGGGAACCAGCCGCGAAGGAAAGGCAAGGCAAGGCAAGGCAAGGCAAGGCAAGGAGGAAGGAAAGGCGCCCGCTCGGCAATGGAGCGCAAGCACCGCGCCGCCCGGCTTTAAGCGCCGCCTGACGTCACCCGCGCCCGGAGGCCACGCCCCGCCCCCGCCCCCGCCCCGCACGGGAGGAGGGCGCCTCTGAGCGCGGACAGAGTGCCGGAGAGAGAGAGAGAGAGAGAGACGGAGAGGGAGAAAGGAAGAAGGAGAAGAAGAAAAGGAAGGAAGAGATCTAGAAAAAGGAAGGAGAAGAAGAAAAGGAAGGGATCTAGAAAAAAGGAAAGAAGGAGAAGAAGAAAAGGATGGGATATAGAGAAAGGCAGGAAGGAAAAGAAAAGGAAGGGAGTCAGGCTGCGAGAAAGAATGAAGGAGAAGAGGAAAAGAAGGAAGGAAGAGATCTAGAAAAAAGAAGGAGCAGAAGGGAAGAGAAGGAGGAAAAAGAAGAAAGTGATCTAGAAAAAGGAAGGCTGGAGAAGAAGAGAAGGAAGGAAGGGATATAGAAAAAGGAAGGAGCAGAAGGGAAGGGAAGGAGGAAAAGGAATGAAGGAAGGAGAAGAAGAGAAGGAAGGAAGCCTGGGTGGGGAGAAGGAAGGAGGGAGAAGAAGAAAAGGAGGAAGAGATATAGAAAAAGGGAAGAGAAGAAGAGAAGGAAGAGAGGGTGCGGAGAAGGAAGGAAGGAGAAGAAGAAAAGGAAGGGATCTAGAAAAAGGTAGGCTGGATGAGAAGAAAAGGAAGGAAGGGGTATAGAAAAAGGAGGGAAGGAGAAGAAATGGAAGGAAGAGATATATAAAAAGGAAGGAGGAGAAAAGGAATGGAGTCAGGGTGGGGAGAAGGAAGGAAATAGAAGAAGAAAAGAAAGGAAGAGAGAGAAGAAGGAATGAAGAGATAGAAAAAGGAAGGAGAAGAAGAAAAGGAAGGAAAGATAAAGGAAGCACAGAGGGAAGGAAGGAGAAAAAGGAAGGAAGGAAGAAGAGATCTAGACAAAGGAAGAAGAAGAAAAGAAGGAAGGAAGAGGAAGAGATATAGAAAAAAGGAGAAGAAATGAAAGATAGGGAAGAAGGGGAAGGAAGAGAAGAGAAGAAGAGAAGGAAAAGAGTCAAGGTGGGGGGTAAAGAAGAAGGGATATAGAAAAAGGAAGGAAGGAGAAGGAAGGAAGGGGAAGAAAAAGGAAGGAAAAGAAAAGGAAGGGAGTCAGGTTGGGGAGTAGGTGGGAAGACAGGGAGGAAGGAGAAGAAGAAGAAGAAAAGGAAGGAAGGAAGAAGAAAAGAAGGATGGAAGAAGAGAAGGAAGAAAGAAAGAAGGAAGGGGAAGAAAGAAAGAAGAAGGAGAAGGAAGAAAAAGGAAGGAAGTCAGTAAGGAGTAGAAACCGGGTTGTGGGCAGAAGCAAGAAGGAAACAACAAGGAAAAGTATAGCTTAAGCCACAGAAAAAGGCAAGAAGGAGAATAATGAAACAAAAAAAAGGAGAAAAAGAACAAGAAGGGAAGAAGGAAGGGAAGCAAGAAGGCAGGGAGCTCGACAGGAGCATTTGCCTTTGGCGATGAGTGGTGATCTCCAAGGGAAGGAGATTCCGCCTAAACAACATCAGGAAGAATTTCCTGACCATAAGAAGGGCTGTTTAGGAGATGAACTATCTGCCTCGGAGCCCATTCCAAGCTCCTCCTTTGGAGGCTTTGAAGCAGATGTGGCTGGCCATCTGTCAGGAGAGCTTGGACCATGCAGAAGAAGGATGTTGGACTGGGTGGCCTTTGGTTGCCTCTTCCAGCTCTGCGGCCCAGGAGGAGAAGGAGGAGGAGGACAACGTAAAGCCCTTCGGCTGCCCTGTAATCACTTCTGAGGGATGATGAGGCTGTTCTGGGGGGGGGGGGGGGGGGGACCAGCCTTAATCCTGGCCCTGAGTAGATTACAGAGATTACTGCCTCTTAATCCCTGGGATCCGACACTGATGCCATAAAGACCCTAACAAGACCAAGGGGCAGAAAGGAGGGGCACCATCGTCATTGTAGTAGTAGTAGTAGTAGTAATTATTATTTATTTATTGCCCACCTCTCCTTGTTTTATATACTTAGCATCCCGGGGGGTCCCTAGTCCTGCCTGGAGACCCTTTCCTTCATCTGAGCCACCCTTCTCTTCTTTCCTTCCCAAAAGTGGGGGGCAAAGCACTTTTTTGGGGGTGGGGGGTGGGTTCCTTTCCTTCAAAGTCTCCCCACTGCGCCACCTCTTAATGATTTCCTTCTTCTCAGCTGGGAGCCAAAGGCAGTGCTCCTCCCTTCCATGGCACCTTGATTGCTCTCAATGAACTCATTAAGGGTGCTCTTGGGGCACATGGGGGGGGGGAGGGGGGGGGGGGGGCGGTGAGTCGTTGTGTTGTGTTGTTTTCTCTGTGCCTTCCTTTCTACCAAACAGCAAGGTTGTCTCAATGAACTCATTAAGGGTGCTCTTGGGGCACATGGGGGGGGGGAGGGGGAGGCAGATGTCTCCTTCACTCCTCTGAGAATGGAAAGGAAGAAGCCCCCTTGCAATAATAATAATAATAATAATAATAATAATTATTATTATTATTATTATTGACAGGAGTGCTGATGTGTGGAAGGGGATCCAAAGGCCAACTAGTGTGACCCCAAGCTAGCGATGCAGCCAAGGTACAGGCAGAACCCTCAAAAGTCCTTATTTCTCCCTTTATGCTTTCTTTGGGAACCTTCAGTGGTCATCTCTACCTTGTCAAGTTCACATAATAATAATAATGTCCCACTTTTATCTATGGGTGACCTCTTCTGCACAAAAAAAAGTCATGCATAAAGGAACAACAATACTGAGCTGCTGTGAGTTTTTCGGGCTGTAAGGCTACCGTATGTTCCAGTAGCATTCTCTCCTGACATTTTGCCTGCATCTGTATCTGGCATCTTCAGAGGTTCTGTTTTCAGTGAGGGAAGTGATGTGTATATCTTCCTGTGAAATATCCAGGGTGGGAGAAAAAAACCCTTGACTGTTTAAAGCAAATGTGAATGTTACAATTAATCAGCTTGAATAGCATTGAATAGCCATTAAGTTGCAAACTCAATTGGTGAGGGTATCTGCATAGATGTAGCCTGGCTGTTGTTACCTGGAGGCATCCTCTGTTTCAGAGGTGTTCACTGGCACTTGATTGTTTGCTGTCTGGAATTCTCCTGTTTCTGAGTGGTTTTTCAAATGTGGTCACCAAATTTTGTTCATTTTCATGATTTCTTCTTTTGTGTCAAAATTGTTCACATGCTTGTGGATTTCAGTGGCTTCTCTGTGCAGTCTGACATGATGGTTGCACTAGCATGTGAACAATTTCAACAGAAAGGAGAAAATCATGAAAATGAACAAAATCCAGTTACCAGTATTTAAAAAATGCCAGAATCAACAGCCAGGCTACCTCTATACCCCTACCTCCCATGCTGGATATTCCACAGATATAGATATAGATATACCCTTGGTTTTACTTCAACACAACCTCTGTGGATGCTTGCCACAGATGCAGGCGAGATGTCAGGAGAGAATGCTACTGGAACATGGCCATACAGCCTGAAAACCTCACAGCAGCCCAGTGATTCTGGCCATGAAAGCTTTCAACAACACAACAACAACACAGCAAGACCCCCACCTAGGTTCTCTCTGTCACCGCACCCTTATGCTGCCCAGCAAAGACACCCCTATCTTCGGAGCTCTTTGTTGGGATGCTGCCTCTGTTCTCCCTGAGATAGAAAGAATGAAAGAGCGAGGAGGAGAACAAAGCGCCTTCAGAAGTTTCTGAATCAAAGCTGGCATTCCTTGTTAGCGATATAGGGGGTGGGCAGTCGGATCTAGTGGAGCAGTGGCTAAACAAGCCCCCCTCCCCATTAAGGCACCCAGGGACCTTCTGGGAACACCCCCCCCCCCTTCTGAAGGAATCAAACTCCCCCCCCCATCAAAAGGGGCATCACCCCACACATATCCATCCATCCACCCACTCATCCATTGATCTATCCAGGGGAGGGGGCCTCCTGCCATGCCCCCTCTCTAAAGGATAAATGCCAGATTTGGTGCTGTTCTCTTGGGGAATGGCTGCTCCTTGCCTCCAAGCCTGGCCTCGATTCCACGCTTCTCTGTCCCTCTGCCCACATTGATTTGTTCCAAATTCTGTGATTAATTACTCTCCAAGAAATTCCAGCTCTATTAATTACCCCTGCTTAATTAGGGCAAACTTCTAATCATGTCCCTAAGCTGAGTCGAGTTCAATAGGCTGGCTAATGAGTGGTTTGGAACCAATTCACTGGTTGCAACAAAAGGGTGAGGATCCTTCTCGGGGTTTGGGGGTTACCTCATGCAAGTGCCAGTGTCCAAGCAGTTCTGTATCTCTCCCATTTGCTTTGCCAAGAAAGGCCACGGATTCCCCCTTTTCCCTGGAAATTGATTCATGCCTCTAGGAGTAATGTTAAGGAGCCCTACTAAACATCCCTGCAAACAGAACAGCAAGCTGCAAAAGAAAACTGAAATCTGATTAAAGCTTTGCAGCAAAGTTCAATACGTTAAACCAGTCATGGGCAAACTTTGGCCCTCCAAGTGTTTTGGTCTTCAACTCCCACAATTCCTAACAGCTGGTAGGATAATAATAATAATAATAATAATAATAATAATAATAATAATAATGTATTATCTCTTTTAAAGTCCTGTTATACCCCACCATGAACTGCAAGGAGAGGTGAGTAAAGAAATAAAATAATTATATAATATAATACTAACATATAATGATACTACTACTACTACTAATACTAATAATAATAATAATAATAAATCTCTCTTTTAATCCTGTTGTGCTCATCATGAATAATAATAATAACAACAACAACAACAATGTATTGCCTCTCTTTTAATCCTGTTGAACCCCATCATGAGCTGCAAGGAGAGGTGGGTAAATAATAATAATAATAATAATAATAATAATAATAATAATAATAATAATATATTATATACTCCTGACCTCATGATCATGGGAAAAAAAAACAAGTATGGATCATCGATGTTGCAATCCCAGTCGACAGCAGGATTAACAAGAAGAAATTGGAAAGCTTACAAGATACGAGGATTTAAAGATAGAACTACAAAGACACTGGCAGAAGCCAGTAAAGCTGGTCCCAGTGGTGATTGGCACACTGGGTTTAATTCCTATAGACCTTGACCTGCACTTAAAAACAATTGGCGCTGACAAAATTATCATCTGTCAGCTGCAAAAGGCCACCCAACTTGGATCTGCACGCATTATTCACCGATACGTCACACAGTCCTAGGCACTTGGGAAGTGTCCAACATGTTAGATTCAATACAACAACCAGCATAGTGATCTTGTTTGCTGTGTACTAATCTTGTTGTGTATATAATAATAATAATAATAATAATAATAATAATAATAATAATAATAATTTTTCCCAACTCTGGGCTGCTGGCTGCTAGAATGTACTTGAGTAGTTGAAGCAAAATAATAGGAAAAAAGAGAAAGGAGATTGAGAAGGAAGACTGGAGGTGAGATGATTGGGGCCTTGGAGCAGTTTCAGAAGCAGGTCCTCCTTTGAACATCGATATCTTGGCACATGAACCCATTTTTGGTTCTGCAACTTCAGTGCAAGGAACAGATCCCCATGTGCTCACTTGCCCAAGGAAGATGCACAATGCAAAATTTAGGAGAAGGGGCAGGAGGAGGCTGGGAAGAAGAGACCTTCAGTTAAGCCCAGGACTTTGTCCCAAGGCCTGGAGCAACTTCAGCAATTGAACCACCGATCATGCAGCTGTGTTCAGAAAGGATGCCTGGCCAAGAAGCCATCTTTGCAAGACGACAGAATGGCTTTTACTTCAAACACTATGCTTTGCAGTGGAGCTTGGCACTTAGGCTGTGCCAATATGTGTATTTTGCAAAGATTTTTGAGCCTCTCTATTATGTCCAGGCTCCATGAAAATGGGAGCAACCCAAAAAAGCCATGTCAGAGGTCCAGGCCTCACATGTTGTTAGTGATTCCCTGCTGCTCTTTATTTTTCTTCCTGAAGCAAACCCCGTGCTCTGCATCTCCTAAAAGAGAGGAATTGCACTGGATCCACCGTTTGATCTGCTCATGTTGGAAGCTGGCTCTCATTCTTTGCATGTCGAGGACACAAACAGAGTGCTGTCATCTCTTGTTGAAATTGTGTCTAGGATCATAAATATGTTTGAGGTTTGCGGAAAGATTTGAGGCTAGAGCCGAACCCTATGGGTCTCTTCAATCGGGGGGGGGGGGGGGGCTCTGAGGACCTAGGATGGTTGCATCTGAGGCCCTTTGGCTCATGCACTTGAATTGGACCCCATCACTCAGGATTGACTTATCTATCTATCTGCCAGACTATCTCAGGGAATTGGACTGGATGGCCTTTGGGGGTCCCTTCCAACTCTAGGATTCTTTGATCCTATCATCTATCTGTCTGTCTGTCTATCATAGGACATTGGACTGGATGGCCCTGGGGCTCCCTTCTAACTCTAGGATTCTTTGATCCTATCATCTATCTATCATAGAGATTTGGACTAGATGGCCTTTGGGGGTCCCTTCCAACTCTAGGATTCTTTGATCCTATCATCTATCTATCTGTCTGTCTGTCTGCCTGTCTGCCTGCCTGCCTACCTACCTACCTACCTACCTACATATCTATCTTCTGTCTACCTACCTACCTATCTATCTACATATCTAGATAGATACCATTGAGATTGAAGGACTTGTTTCTTAGTAGTGCATTCAGGATGGTGCTGTGGCCACTTTATTTTTAGCCTGGGCTTATTGCGCTGCCATTCGAAGCCTTGCCAGGGCTGCTGTGCCCTCAAAGCCAGACCAAATGTTGGTCCACCTCCCCACCCACCCCACCCCCCCCCCCCCCCCCCCCCCCCCCCCCCCCCGCAAGGAGCCGTGCCTCTCAAAGGAGCCTGCAAGGGGCTCAGAGGCAAAGCAGGAGCCGGTCCTGAGTCTCCAAATCCGCTGCTAAGCCCTGCGTTAATCTCTGGCAACGCTCATGTCAAAAATCTTAGCTGGAAAATTAAGCTGCATGGCAATATTTCAACTACATGGAATCGATATTAATTATAGGTGGAGAAAGATGTTGCTCGGAGGGGCTTATCCAAGGATTGTGCGTTTGTGTGTGTGAGTAGGAGAGAGAGATAGAGAGGGAGCATTGTTGACAAATAATGACCCCGTTCCCTTTGTGCTGCTCCCCTTTGCTCCTGCTTTCAAAAGGAGGAGGCCTTGTTCCATGCCCCAGACTGCTTTGCCAGCCATGATTCAAACACAAGCTCAATGGAAGCCCAGTACTAGGTGTGTATTTTCGCATGTGTTTGCACATAGGGTTGAGCAACTTGCTTCGGTGCCTGATATCTTCCTCTACAACAATCTCTCCGTCAGCTTTGTGCGGCAGCTGAGCTGATCACCTGCTTGATACTATTTATTACTAAGAAATTAATGCATCTGGGTCCTATTACCGCCCCTCTTTTATTGTTGTTAATATGCAAGAGTTTGCCAGGGAATATTTGTCCTAAGCTGGCAATGCCCTGAATTATACAGGTAAATAAGACGTTATAGATAACTTCTGTTGTCTTGTTGCTCTTCTTGAGGGTCACCCCTTTGGATGCCATGGGGCCAAACTGCCTTATAACTAATGCGACCCATGCCCCCTTTATGTCCAAAGCTCCAATGACAACAGAAATGTGGATGGATGAACACCACTCCTCCAAAACCTCACAATCAAGTTATTTCTGCCCTCCATTAAGGTCTCTCTCTGTGGGCCTCATGGCACTGAACCTTTCCTGAGAATGGCACTTGTGTGTGGTCATGGGTACGACTGCCAGCCATGCACTCAGCATCTCTCCTGCTTCAAGTGACAACGGAGTGGAAGACGCATATCATGTCAACAACGAGGCTGTTTCAAGAGCATTGTTAGCATCAAAGCTCATGCAACCAATGAAAAAAAAATGCAACCAACATTTCTCATCCCAGAAGTCAACATTTCTCCAGTTGCCATCCAAATGGCTGAGAATCCCAAGGAGAACCAAAAATGGCAGGACATGAATGGGGCATCTTTGGAAGTTATTTCTTTCGTACTACAATGTCCAAAATCCTCCAACTTTTGTGGCCAGTTGCCTTGCTATCTGGGGGATTGGGGGAACTGTAGTACATCCCATAAATGGACTGTGGTTGCCACCTGGAAGGGTTGGTGATCACACATCTATTTTCTCATAGAGGGAAGATGATGCATGACCTCCATTAGATAGAAATGCCTCAGCATTGAATCTTTGTGAAAATACAGTTCTGATGGACATGTGTTAACACCTGGGGAATGACTGAGAAAGTCATAATGAAATACCTAAGGGAATTGCAGAAATGGTTGAGTCTTAATCATGTGAGGTTTATGACAAGGGATTGCATCAGTCATTTGTCCCTTACTGATGACAAGTCAGCAGGTGGTTATAAAAGAGATGAAATGCTCAATCTCTCCCTGTGTGAATCTCATTGTGAGTATCTCTCTGTGTCTGACTGTCTGAGGATTGTTTGTGAGTACAAATCTGATTGTGGATCTGCACATCCTGATTGCACAGCTGTAAATTGGGCAACGGTGAAAATTAACACCTCCAGATAGTTTTGGATGAAAAACTGAATCTGTAAGTTTACTAAAACAGTGTCTGGAGAAGGTCAGACATTGCAATCGTATT